CTTCTGAGGGCAATCTGTTCCATTGGTTGATTGTTCTTACTGTCAGAAAGTTTCTCCTTATTTCCAGGTTAAATCTCTCTCCTTGTTCAGTTTCCATCCATTATTCCTTGTATTCCTACAGACGCTTTAGAAAATAGCTTGACTCTCTCCTCCTCTCTGGGGCAGCCCCTCAAATATTGGAAGGCTGCTCTCCTGTCTTCCCTGGTCCTTCTCTTTACTAGACTAGCCAAGCCCAGTTGTATATTTTAGCCTCCAGTCCCCTCATCATCCTGGTTGCTCTTCTCTGCCCTTTTTCTAAAGTCTCAACATCTTTTTTATAATGTGGTGACCAAAACTGGATGCAGTACTCTAGGTGTGGTCTTACTCAGGCTTTATAGTGGTATTAGTACTTCCCTTGATCTCGATTGTATCCCTCTGTTCATACAATTTAGCTTTTTTGGCGGCTGCTGCACACTGCTGGCTCATACTTAGCATAGGTGTACTTTTGGTTTTTCTTGTCTAAGTATAAGACTACTTTTTTGTCGACATTGAATTTTATTTTGTTAGATATGGCCCAGTGTTCTAGTCTGTCAAAATCCATCTGGATCTTGAGCCTATCTTCTAGGGTGTTGGCTATTCCTGCCAGCTTAGTATCATCTGCAAATTTGGTAAGTTCCGCTTCTATTCCTTCATCTAAGTTGTTAATGAAGATATTCAAGAGTCCTGGGCCTAAGACGGAACCTTGTGGCACCCCACTGCTTACTTCCCTCCAGGTAGACTTAGACCCATTAAGGACTACTCGTTGAGTACGGTTTGCCATTCAGTTGTGAGTTCATCTAGTGGTGCTGCTATCTATTCCACTTTTTGGAATGGCGAGTGGGACCTCGCCGAAACGTTGCCTAGATACTTTGAATCTTACGCGGGAGAAAACCCGAATAACCAAAGATCCACATACAAATACCCGCGAGAACCTCAGAAAACAAATAGATAGATAGATATAAACAAACTATATAGTAAGCCAAACACACACATATATAAATAAATAAAGCCAAACACAGGCACTCCTTGACTTACAACAGTTAAACAACTGTTCAAAGTGACAACGGCAATGAAAAAAGTGACTCTAGACTGTTTTTCAGACTTATGACCATTGCAGCATCCCCATGGTCACCTGATCAAAATTCAGGCGCTTGGCAACCGACTCATATTTATGACGATATGTCCCAGGGCCACTTTGCGAACCACTGATCAGCAAAGTCCATGAGGAAGCCAGATTCACTTAAACAACCGTGTGACTGATTTAACAACTGCAGTGATTCACTTAACAACTGGGGCGAGAAAGGCCGTAAAATGGGGCAAAACTCGCTTGACGAATGTCTCACTCAGCAGCATAAACTGTGGGCTCGATTGTGGCCGTTAAGTCGAGGACTGCCTGCAATTTATTTTAGAAGTCAAAATAGCGAAGAGTCAAAAAGGTACCCAAGTTTCTGATTTAAAAGCCGCTTCTCCTTGGCGGCTGCCAATTTCTCCCGGATCTCCTCTCGCTGCCTGAGGGCGATCGGATTGATGACCTCTGCAGCCACCGGGTCCTCTTTGCTGCCAGTCTCTGCAGGGGGAGGAGAAGACAATAGGGAGACCAAGATTTTGCTCTTAGATGAGAAGTCTCCAAACTTGGCAACTTTTAAGACTTGTGGACTTCAACTCTCAGAATTCTCCAGCCAGCATAGCAATCAAGTCCAAAACATGGTCAACACAAACTATAATTTTAACAGCATGATTGATGACTCTGTGTCTGGCTGAAGAATATGAATTACGATACACTCAGTGGGTGGGGGAAAACCAGGGTCAAGGGTGACAATGAATTATGTGCCTCAGAGTTGGCTACAACCTGGCAGTGCAGGCATGTTTACTCCTAATAAATCTTCTTTTAAGTTTTGAAAATTCAGCTAGAGACTCATGATTTAAATGACGGTAACTACCAAAGCCCTGACACAGGCATTCCCATGGCTATACTTCTGTCGGCTTTCAAAGTCAAACAAACCCACATGGCCCTCCCCCCTTATACATTCTCCAAGAGATGAGAAAAATCTCAGGGCTTTCCGGCACTAGGATACAAGTTATAAAATAGCAGTTGTCACAGGCAATAGTGATGAATCGAATTCCAGAGCTTCTCCCAATTGAATGGCAGTATCATTTTAGGGATCTGACAGTTGCTCTGTGAGCTCAGCTTGTATCCTACGCCACAAGGCAAAGCGGTGAGGTGCGCATCTAACAGAAAACTGGATATGGGGTACTCCAACCTTCTGCCAAGGGATTTTCTTCCTTGCTTTTTCTTAGAATAGAATAGAATTCTTTATTGGCCAAGTGTGATTGGACACACCAGGTATTTGTCTTTGGTGCAAATGCTCTCAAGTGTACATAAAACAAAAGAGGCATTCGTCAAGAGTCATCAGGTTCAACACTTATAGGGCAGAATAAGCAATCAATTCTTCCTTTCCACTTTAAAGCAGGAGTCCCAAAGGTGCTTTTTTCCCCAAGAGGCAACTGGACATCCTGGTTTTTCTTTGAAGACATTTTGCTTCTCATCCAAGAAGCTTCTTCAGCTCTGACTGGAGGGTCACTTCTCATGGTCGCATCTTCAAGGAAAACCAGAAAGTTCAGTTGCCTCTTGAAAAAGCACCTTTGGGACAAAAAAAAAAGACCTGGATGACTGAGAATCTTCACAGACATTTAAAGCAGGTGGTTAAAAGGGGGAATATTGGCAATTCTAGACTAATTTTACAAGGAAAGCAACTGAAAGCAGGATGCAAGTGAGCCATCCCAGACCCCAAATTGTTGCCAGTTTAGTGAGAAAAACTTGATAAATAGCTGCTGGAGAAGCAGAGAAAATACCCCATGAAATATTTTCTACAAGCTTTAAGGAAACATTTTTGCTACCACGCAGTTAAAAAAAAAAAATCGGTGACACTCCATTTTGGGTTAGATAAAACAATGCAGAATTTGTCACAGACGTCTGAAGAACCTAAGGAAAAGGCAAATGAACCAAAGTCTCCATGACAAAAGACAGAAGAAGGAAAGCCAACTTGAACATACCTTTTTTGACTGTGTTGATCTCCAGAGGCTTCAACCCAAGTTTGGCTCGAAGTTTACTATCGAGAGAGAGAGAGAGAAAAGCAACAAAATGCATGTAATTTTGTGTACACGTTGTTGAACCACACAACAGAATCTCTGTGGGGTTCCTGGTGATTCCCGAGCTGGGCTGCTTTCTTGAAAACGTTCCATTTTCCAGCTAGGTAACCCCATCAAGTGCTAGAAGGGAGTGGCGTTTCATCTGTGAAAATCGAACAGTAAACAGTAGAGCATAGGATTCTAAGGCTGGAAGGGACCTCAGAGGTCTTCTAGTCCAACCCCCTGCTCAAAGCATGAGACTTATACCACCCCAGTCAAATGGTTGTCCAAGCCATTCTTGAAAGCCTCCAGTGATGGCGTACGCACAACTTCTGGAGGGAAGCTGTTCCACTGATGGATTGTTCTCCCTGTCAGGAAATTTCTCCTGGGAAAGGTTGGATCTCCCTCTGATAAAGATTCCATCCTTTGCTTCTTGTCTTACTCTCAGGTGCTTTGGAGAATAAATCAAGCCCTTCTTCTCTTTGAAAGCCCCTCAAAGACTGGAAGGCGGCTATCGTGTTGCTCCAATCCTCCTCTTACCTTGATTAGACATACCAAGCTCCCTCAACCTTTCGTCCTACGGTTTAGTCTCCAGACCTTTTTATCATCTTTCTTGCTCTTCTGAGAAACACGTTCTAGATCCCAACATATATTTTATAGCATGGCGACCTTGTCTGTGTGCAGTACCCCACCGAAGGAACTACTAACTCGGGCAAACAGTGAACAATCACTTAATCAAGCAACCATCAAGAACACTCTCACCAATAACTTGCATATAAACAGAGAGCAAATTCCCTCCCTTTTAACACTGATGATGTTCCCTAGTTGGGTCATGAAACGTCTGCAAGAAAACCACCAAGCTCAGAGGGCACCAGGGACCCCACCATAGCCCTCCTCCTCTTCTCCTCTGCAAACCCTTCTAGCGCGGATGATGTTCCCTAGTTGGGTCTGCAAGAAAACAACCAGGTTCAGAGAGCAATGTTAGGGATAACATTGTTTACCCTAACTGGTTTGGGTAAAAATAATAAATATGGTATCATGGTTTGTTAGTTAAAGTGTGTGTAACTTTAACAACAAGAATGTAATTAAGGGTGTGGTTGTAAAAGCACTATATATGAAGCGAGGCAAATGCAGCTCTCTCTCTCTCTGGCTTACTGATCCCTAATTACTTGATGGATTGATGACTGCATTCTTGCTGGAAAGGGGAGAGAAGAAGGAGTGTTGATTTTTCTCATCGGAGATAAAATAAAGATTGACTGATTTATTGTAAGTGAACTGACATTGGCTATTCAATACGGACTTTGCAAATAGAGTATCCCCGACAAGACTTGACTGAAATTGATATATGACTAATGGACCGTTTATTTTGACTATGCTATAATTCTTAAATGGAATAAACTATATTTTTGATAGCACAAGCGTATCTGTATTTTTACTGCGTGTTAACTAGAAAACTTATCTCACACATTTACCTGTCTTCCTATCTGACTTCGCTGCACGTTCTGTTTAGTTTGTTTTCCTTAACACCCGTTGGGGAATCCAGCCTTAACAAGCACCAAGGACCCCAAAGTCCTCCCCGCACCTATCAATTCCGCTCCCTCCTGGCACGGATGATGTTATCTACCTGGGTCAAGAAATGCCTGCAAGGAAACCACCCAGCTCAGAGAGCACCAAGGACCCCACAATTCAACCTTGAGCTACGAATCTCCTCTTCTACTGGGACAGAATTTCTTCTAGATCTCAAGGTGACTAAAGGAGCTAGTCAAGACTTTTCC